TGTGCAATTTTCTCCATCAGCCGGCCTGTCAACCTGGGCCTGACGCTGGTATCGTCCCATTTTTGCAATTTTTGCAAGGCATGGTTTGTGCCTCGGCAGGGATTGTACTCGTGACCTACTTCAGCGTGGTTGCGAACACGAGCCGCCTTTCTTAACCACTCGGCTATCCCTGCCTCGGCGATAGACCGAGTAGAATGACATAATAAGGAGGTGCCTATATAAAAGAGCTAGATACCTCGTCTGGCATAGAAATTGGATTTGTTCCAATTTTGGGGCAATGTGTGGTGTGGCAGTGAACCTAAACCTCACCAGAATCCATTTCGAACAAGGCTTCATCAAGTTCCTCGAGATTTGGCAAATTCAGTAGGTCATCTGTCACGCACCTGAAACATAACTCACTTTCTCTTCCCGTGTCTAACCAAGGCTGTTCCCTGTGTGACTTACAATGCCCCTACAAGAAGGATTGTGTCATAGCAACTCACCGTCTCCTTCGCTCGCAAACTCCCATTCCACATGTAACTGAACAACCACCCCAATCCATCCACTCGTCCCAATATGGACAGCTGGCCAGCTGACAGAAGCGAATCTCCCGATTAGAACCCATACAATCGGATCCGCCCTCACATGTACGAGTCCTAGAGTTAAACGGATTCTACGTTATTGAAATGTGCCAGTCACGGTCTGGAGGAAACATGCCTAGCCTGGTTGCCTTGGCCACATGTCGCTGAGCATTCGGACCACTCACTCCAATCAGACCATGTGGCACAAGCACGTGATGGGCATGAAGACTGATCTTGAGCTGGTCCTTCACATCCACTGTGACTTACTCCGCCATACATACATATTCTAAAAGTGAACGCATGTACTCGTGTACAAATTTAACCTAGAGCTCTACCATGGAAAACCAGGTCCGCATGACCGCCCACTTGTAAGTGAAACGTTTGTCAACAGCCAAACTGAGCTACTCCTTATCCTCTGGAATGTTAGGCTGCCCTTTATCCCAGTTTCAGCTATCCGTCTTTAGCCTAGACCATACCGTGTAACAAACACAGCTGAAAAATGCGGAGATTTTGACGAAAGCTCCCCTAATACTAATCGCTACATTGTAAATAATATATCGTTGCTGTATACCACTTTTAGTGAGAAATGAAAGAGCTGTTGAGAAAATAATACGGATACTTGTTATTCGAGATGAAAAGACCTGTTCCGTATCCTGTAGGTATCTTCGTCACATTTATTTGCACATACCGTCCAAGCAGTCCATTCTGTCCACGCGGGGCAGTCCTGTAATTGGTAAGAATACGAAAGTTGTGACTTTTTGCTCACAAAAATCAGATTTGAAAAATTCGTGAAAAACAAACAAGAATCAGTTAAGAGGGCATACATAGATTATCTATTCTACCAGTCAAAGGCAAAAGATGTCTTTCGATGTCATCATTGAGAAGAGTCGCTAAATTGCTGGGTTCATTGGTAACTAATAGCAGCTCGAGTGTTCAAAGGCTACACTAGACCCCAGCATTCTTTAGGCCGGTTCCTACCTCTCGACGCACGCGATTCAGTTAGGGGTTTTGCAGTTTGACGTTCGCGCAACGCGCACCACCCCAATAGTTGACCGCAGTGTGGCATTAGCAGTTCAACAATTAGCTGTAGAGCGTGACTTGTCGCACTCGCGCGGCTGAATATCTCGTGTCGCGAAGTTGTTCGATTTGCTATGAAAGCCGGTGGAACACCTATGTCCCTTGTTGGGATAATGAAAATCTTGCACCAATACCACGATAAATACTGATATGAACGAAAAACAAGTGTCTGTAACATTGAACCTGTTGATTGCACAGAAGTCGTTCTTCGGAAGCACCTTCACAAGAGCCGTGTTCGCATTCACGTGTACGATACTGCAAAATATTCTCTGGTCATGGAAAGTCAATTGTGAGCATAATGAGACACACGGAGCCGGGGAACTTGCAGTCACTCCCTCACTATTCGGGTGCATCATACCGTTTCGCCTGTGTCACAACTTCTAGTACATGGTGTCCATGACGTCCAAGAGGACCACCGAGGACAATCGCCACGTTCGCATATGCGGGTCTCTTCAGCTGCTCCTGGGCAGAGAAAACCATTCTAAAAAGCTGGGGATTTTGAAACCACTTCAATCATAGATACGCTCAGCATCAAAAGCTTACTTATTCTAGATAGGTAAATCAATAGGTCTTGCCCACAATCACTAGATCCTTGCCTACAAAACACATTGTCAAAAGTACCTGACACTTTCGAGATCGTTGCTCATGGCCCTGACCACATGTGATACTGCACCCTTCCCACGCGCCCCAATCTGACCATGAAGGGCAAGAGGGCGTGACACATGTTTCTGCTGCCTGAAACGCAGGTCAGTAGTTATTATCAATTGTTTCCAAAAGTTGTGTTATATGTAGAGCTCACTGTCTACTCCTACATAGTGCCTTATAACAGGCACTTACCATCCCAACACCAGGGCAGTCTCGGCCACCTATGCATTCGCGAGTCCGTTTTCGTTCACCCTCACCGCAACTGACTGAGCACGATGTCCATGCACTCCATGGCGCCCATTCCTGGCATATTGCTATCATCGAACACGTCTCCAATGCTGGTCCAATACATCCCACACCTGTTATCGACAATAAAATGGAAGAAGAAAAATCTAGATAAGAAGGAATACACCCGACTGAGAGGGTGAGTATTGAAGTAGGTTATTTTGCAAGCATATTTTGTGAACCTTTACTAATTGTATTTTTCTAACCATTAAGAGGCTAAACACTATTTGAGATGTGGGCAAATCGGCATCGAAAAGTTGACAGAAGGAGCGCGAGCTGTTGGTGTCTCAGTAAGTTTTGCCCATAGCAAGCTACGGGGATGCTGGATACAAGTTGTTAACTGAAAGATAAAAGCGCCGTTGGAAGCGCAAGTTGTGAGCCTGAACGTTCTTCCGGGCATTTTTCGGTGAAATCCTCCGTTATCAAGCCCTTTGATATTCCTCCATCCACATAAAGGTAAAAGAGGCAATACTGCAAGAAACGTTACCAGAACATTGCCGCGTTCTCATGCCGGGCCCGCATGTCAACGAGCACGAGCTCCACTCGGTCCATGCTGGATGAGCGACATGTTGGTCGACATTAGCACACACTGTAGGATACTGAAGCATCCTCACTTTTTTAAGTTCACTAATTAGAATGAGTTCAGACTTTGGAAACGAAACTGACTAAAAATTCTTACACACGACGGCCTCGCTGCACATGGGTCACCTTGTCGCGCCGGACAAGGAGACGAATCTAACGACGCCAGTGTCGGAGCACACAGAACACCAGCTGAAATCGATGCTATTCACAGTCATCTTCTTATTCAAACTTTTTTGTGAATGCAAAGTATCTGGATGGGCTACGTACTCCTGCAGCCTGTTGTGTGCATTTACGACCAACCCAATTAATCTCACGCGTAATTTTCGTGGATACTGTATGCACCATTATAACGTGAACTTATAATTTAATGAACTCTTCAATTCAGTCAGGGCTTGAACATCATGCACCTCCTACTGAGCATTTTATTACTTGAGCAATCTGGTTTCCTTCGCCTCTCGGAAGTGTCTTAAAAGTCTCCAAGAAGAGAAAGGATTCTCAAAGGGCAACGGTTAGGACTCCACGAGAGGTCAACCTGCCGCCGCGACGCGGCAGTTTTCGCTATGTGCGCGGCGTTTGCATAGTCCATGAGATTTCCAACAGTCTGCTTTATTACTTGCAGGTGTGAAAACTATGAAAGGAGTAGGCCCGATGTTCAACTATTAGTATAAAACAATGTCCATTTACATAGAAATAATATTTAGAGAATACATCAGCAATCTACAAAAATTCACTTTAGGGTGAATCCTTCTTTTGCCCTCAATTGTAAGGTATTGTAAGGGCCTAAGATTGCGGCCAGGTGGAAAAGTAGGTCGTATTAAAGGAATACAGCAATCCGTTGAATAAATACAGCTGCCATTCGAAATATTGACGTCCCATTGAATATTCTGGCTTGGCAAAATGCCAAGCAGATTTTTGCGTGATGCCAGAACTATGTGAAGGGGCCGGGATCTTGATCGCACGACCGTTACTGCGCCTCGTCAATCACCGGGCAGCAATCGCCGCGCGCGGCGAGGCGAAACATGGCAGCCGCGACCTCTCGTGGAGTCCTAACCTACCCCCATTCTCAAAGAGGTGTCCCTTGGAGAGCTCCCCAACCCTGCTCCCTTCTTCCCTTCTCGAACTATTACCGCGTGACTGTCAACGCTTATGTGGTTGCAGCAACGGAGTAGCCTTCACTATCGTACAAGAATATTCCAACCAAAAAATTGTAAGTTCTCAACCTACGTCCACAACTGTCATGCTTTGGCTTCACTATCCTTCCCATGTGTAGTACTGCTACTGGAACGATGGCTTGAACTCCTGAAAATAGACTTTTTTGAAAATATCTGAACATAAGGCAGTATGGGTACCAGGAATGAAGCTCAACTTTAAGGCAGCGTTCATAGTTCGCGACAGCAGGCATGCAGCGGCGATCGCGGCGATCGCCGCGATCGCCAGTAGGAGGACCAGCTCGCCCCAACACAACTAGATGGACGGATTGAAAAACTTGTTGGAAAGGTATTTTCATGCGGTTTTTTCGCCGTTTTTTTCTTTTCCGCCCTAATCGTTTCGACGCTACTCTCATTCCCCCCTACCCTCCCCCGACCTCGCCCCCGACTCCGCCCCTCACTCCGCTCCCTGAATCCGCCCCATTACTTCATCACTCCTTCATAACGCCTTTCACCTCCCCGATTTCAGGGAATTCCCGACTCAGTGGAGTGTGTCATTAGGTCTGCTTGGAGCACTACGTCTCACTGTGTGCGCCGCTCGAACTACTTCCACTATTTCGGCAATTCCCCGTCCAATCAGTGAGGTGTGTCATTAGGTCCGCTCTGGGGCACTACGTCCTTAGTGTGTCATTAGGTCCCCAGCCACGCCCATATCCATATCCCACCAAGCCCCCCCCGACTCCGCCCACTTCTCTCAGAATTTTTCGTTTTTTTTTCTAGACTTTCCCACAACCTTCCCCGTCCCACCCTAAGTACTGAGGCAAGGTGTGTCATTAGGTCCGCCTGGGGCACTACGTCCCACTGTGTGCGCCGCCACGCCCCCTTCCGTATGCCACCAAGCCCCGCCCCCTGACTCCGCCCACTTCATAAAAATTCACCATTTCTTCATGAGACTTGGTATTTTCACCTCCCACACTCCCAAACATCACTGCCCACGGAAGTAGAAAATATGAAACTATGTGAAATTTTAAACCGGGCTGATATCTCGATCTAGAAGCCTATTATTTAACTGCACCCCACTTATTAATCAAATAACCCCCTCACTGAGAGTACTAGTGGGCGGGAGAAAGAAAAAAACCACATCCGTCCATCTTGGGGCGAGCTGGTCCTCCTACTGGCGATCGCCACGATCGCCAGCGATCGCCGCTGCTGTCGCGAACTATGAACGCTGCCTAAACATGACAATCCTTCGACAGAAACAGTCCAAAATTTTCGAAAATTCCATCAAGGCGTTGGAGACACGGCTTATTTTGAGCCTTGATCACTGATTTGAATGACATTCGCTTTGACCACCGATGTCATTTGGTCCCACTCCCTTTGCGACATAAACTCGCACAGCAAAGTTATATGGTGCCTTGATTATGAATATAGCATTCATGCTTGGCGCCGGCACTATCTGTCCCCACAATGGCGCTGGTGTAAATGTCGTTCTATCAGTCGGTATCAACTCGCATATTAGGGCTGCTGCTGTATCATTTATTTTTCACGCCGGCGCTACTGGGCGCCGGAATGGTGCCGTTTCGGCGCGGCGTCACGACTACCCTAACGAACTCGTTACCAACTTCTTTTAGAGATTAAATAGCGTCCGAAACGACACCAATTTTCAGGGCCACCGTCATTTTGGGCACTGCTCTCTTTTATGATTCATTGAATTTTCCTGTTACCTATAGTAGATATGTGGATGACTTCATGAAGCATCTATAAATCTAATCTGCCTTAATAGAGCTTTGTAGGTGTCCCGTGACGTCTATTTAGTTACAGCCATAGCCCTAAAGTCCTATCTGTTTCAAGCTCATTATTATCTTGAATTGCTAATATGGTCAGTGGATTATTAATCAGTAAATATTTGCCTTCGAATGGGGAACTTGGCCGATGATAGTCTTTTGAATCCAGATACTTTCGACTGATTTCTTCTTTGTACAAGGGCGTCATCGTCTGAAATGAACAATTATCAAACTTTATCTCAATCGCCGCGCGGTAAGAATCAGTGTTCTTTGTTGGAGTTGTTGTAAGTTTTGTTCCGCTTGGTGGAGCACGTCTCGTGTTAGGCGTGCGGCAGCGGGCGGGGTCAGGAGACAGAGTACAGCCACCACCACCTTCCAGCTTCCTTCCCGTCCACTTTCGTTCGGAGATAGGCATGCTACTGCAGCTGCGGATCATCCATTCAATGAACACGTTGCAAGGACCACGATCCGTGATGGTGACTGTACAGCTTGTCTTTAACTGTCGCAGCGTTGGCCGCCCACTACCCCTCCTTTCCCTGCTGTCCACTCTACTGCCACGCTCCCTCATCTCTCCCCCCCCCCCCAGTACTCCCTTCGGACAAAGATCGCAAACATTCCATTTTACATGAAATAACGTCATATAAATTGGGACTCCTCTTTTCTCCTTTCTTCTAGGCCACTTCTATTTTAATATACCACCGTGTTCTACTTATTGTACAAAATAGAGGGAAAGGGAGCATCGCGACGACGGCTACAATCTCGTGCTCCTCTCCTACACATACGTTCTGCCTCGCTTTCTTCTGGACCCCCTTCGATATCGTAGTCTCACCCCTTGCTACATTCAAATATGTGTTGTAAACACAAGTAATGAAATGATGAAAATAAAATTTCACCGCATATCGATCCGACGATGACTGACGGTCACTATCTTCTTCAAACTGATCGGGAAAGAAAGCATCTGGTCGAGCGTCGTCATTTAATGCTGGAAGGAGAAGAATCAAAAGCAATGCTTTAGAGTAACAACTATTAAGTTAGTTGTAAGTTAGATGTCAAGTTATAATTATAAGCTAGTTTTTCACATTGCAGCAGTCCCTGGGAGCGAAGCAATCCTGCTTTGTGGCGACCTAAATGGCCACGTTGGTAGCGCTCAGAATGGTTACAACTGCCATGGCAACAACGGATACGGGATACGAAACGAAGACGGACGGCGTATTCTAGAATTCGCTGAGGCCAATGATCTTGCTATCAGTAACACATTCTTCAAGAAGCGTGAAAGTCACCTAGTTACATATGCAAGCGGTGGGCAGAAAAGTCAAATAGACTTCGTGTTGGTCCGCAGGAGAGATCTTTGTTCCATCAGTGATGCGAAGGTCATCCCTCAGACTGCCTGGCACCACAACACAAGATGCTCGTTGTGGATACGAAGGTAATCAGGCGTAGAAGCGACACCGGCCGGTCTATGGGACCAGAGCGAATCAAGTGGTGGAAACTGCGGGGACAGGAAGCGACAATTGCCCGCGCGTGCAGCTTACCTCCAGCCGATGGCAGGCCGGTCGAGGACTTGTGGACAACGTTTAGCAGATCCGTTACGACTGCTGCTAAATCTGCTTTAGGAATTACGAAACCCGGTCGACGTATTGACAAACAAACGTGGCTGTGGACGGAAGAAGTGAAGCAGAAAGTGATGGAAAAGAAGGCTGCCTACAAAACCTGGCTTACGCATAAAACTGCCGAGAACTGGAGGAAGTATACCACCGCTAGAAGAGAGGCAAAGAGGTCTGTGGCCGTAGCCAAAGCGGAACATTTCCGGGGCCTATACGATCAGCTAGGTACCAAGGAAGGTGAGAAAAACATCTACAGACTGGCGAAAGCACGGGCCCAAGCAGCGAAGGACGTTGAGCACTACATGTGCGTGAAGGATTCCAATGGAGAGCGGCTGCATAGTAGACGAAAGATACTGCATCGCTGGTGGGAACATTTCAACGAGATTTCCAACGTGGAGTTTGCACACCCGCCAATTCCAGAAGGTCCGCCAACCGCCGGTCCAGTGCAACGCATCACAGTCGAAGAGGTTACCAAGGCGATCGACAGCATGAAGAACCAAAAAGCGCCAGGGCCAGACAACATACCGGCAGAAGTCTGGAAAATGAAGGAGATGCGAGAGAGTGGTATTCCGTGGCTCACACAGTTCATAAATGCAATTGTTGATTCAGGCCGGGCACCCAGTGAATGGGCTACGAGCATTACTGTGCCAATCTTCAAGAACAAGGAGATCCGGCCGAGTGCTCTAATTACCGCCCTATACGCTTGCTTTCGCACACCATGAAGATCTTCGAGCGAATCCTCGATCAACGGTTGCGCGACATCATCGATTTGAGCAACAACCAGTGCGGTTTCGTGAAGGGACGAGGAACAACCGATGCAATTTTTGCCGCTCGCTCACTCATGGAGAAGCATCGGGAAAAGCGGAAACCACTTCATATAGCTTTCTTGGATCTCGAGAAAGCTTACGATCGCCACCAACTAATCTGGTATGCGCTACGCGAGCATGGAGTGCCCGAAGCACTTATCAACTGGATTCGAATGCTGTATATGAACACCACCAGTCGAGTCCGATGTGCTGCGGGTTTATCTAAGAGCTTTCCAATAAAAGTTGGAGTTCACCAAGGTTCGGCCCTCTCGCCATTGCTGTTTCATCCTCATCATGGACACACTCACACGAGATCTGCAACACGCTGCTCCATGGACTTTGCTCTATGCTGACGATGTTCTCCTAGCGGACGTCAGTAGGGAGGAATTGCAGCGTCAAGTACAAGCATGGAGTGACCGTCTAAGCCAGTATGGCCTTCGTCTCAACATCAGGAAAACGGAATACTTGGAAACCGACCCTAGCGAAGGCACGATTAAAGTCAAGGCGAAGACTTACCGAAACGATGTCTTTTAGGTACCTAGGGTCCCGCTTGCAGAGTACAGGAGGTGTCGATGATGAGATACGAATGAGAGTCAACGCGGCATGGATGAGATGGAGAGAGATCACTGGGGTGCTATGTGATAGGCGCATGCCTCTCCGCCTCAAGTCAAAGATATACAATGGTTCGACCCGTGGCACTGTACGGATCCGAATGCTGGCCAGCTACCAAAAGTGCCGAGCGCCAACTCCACGCCATGGAAATGCGAATGCTGCGGATGTCAATGGGCATTTCACGACTCGACAGAATCAGTAACGACGTGATTCGATGCCAGATGGGTGTCGCCCCGATCGCCGAGAAGATGCAAGAGAGGCGGCTTCAGTGGTATGGCCACGTTCTGCGAGCCGAGCGTGATACCATCGCTGCTGTTGCATATCGATTTGAAGTTGATGGTCAACGGCCGAGAGGAAGGCCAAAACAGCGCTGGCAGGACACCATAAATGCGGACATGAAAGTGGCCAACCTCCGCAGAGAGGATGCACTAGATCGAGCAAAGTGGCGATTGTCGATCAGAAGAACGGACCCTGCACCAGCGGGACAACGTTAGGAAGAAGAAGAAGAAGAAGAAGAAGAAGAAGAAGCTAGTTTTTCATGCTATACGATTCTTCAGCATGCTCTACTTTTATATACCACTTTGTAGATTTTGAAACTTAAGAAATCTTACTGATTCTGTCCAAGCTGGATTCCAGTTTTCTTCGGTGATTTGATGAGATCTTATACGTTATTTCAGGAAGTGAGAATTGAGGACAGCTGTCCAGAATTTCGTGAACAGTTGACACCTAATGAATTATGAGAATTAAATTCATATCCTGTTGATTTGTCAAATATTATTCTCAACACATTTCCCCAATCACAAGAAAAAAATAAAATCAATAATGTTCCAAGCTTCAACATCATTGGAACAAATCCTGCATACGTCTTCATCATAAAATCAACTATTTTGAGGGAAACTACTGAACAAGACTCGATTGCTTGAAGACTGAGATCGCACCAAGCGCGTAGACTAATTTGGATTCCCGTGGTGGATATTTGTTTCTCAAGTCATATTGTTGCATGAGTTGAACAGGATGATGAGGAGATCGGCGATATGTACACTCGAAATAACTGGCATGCGGTAGGCGTGGCTGCATGCTTCATTTGAACGTGGCGACTGCTGGCAGCTTTTCGTGGGAGATTTTCATTTTGGGACGATTGAATCGTGTCCTTGTGATGAGCAAGATACCATAGATAATGACCCGCATGTGTCATAGGAGCACGACATTTACCCACTTAACAGCAGCTAACCACATACACCATTCCATTTCGTGGATTCTCTGAAGTCCTATTAACATTGAGGGTTGACTCTTGGAGTGGGGACACAAAGAGTGAGAGATTTTCACCTCAAACAATTTGGTTCTACACCCAACACTTCTCCTCTTCGACCTTAGGCAAAATCCATTGTCTCAAATTGGAATACTCGACGAATAACCCATAGGCCATGTTCAGGTAAAGTACGCACCCACGTCTACTGCTTTGCAGGGATGAGGAGTGTCTCATCCACGACAGTGTGCCTTCAGCTCTCAAGAAAGAAAGAAAGAACTGTAAGGGATAGATGCTTGGCAGAAAATTAATTTCAGACTTCGAATTCAAGGCGACCACTTTCCCTGCTTCTCATTTGTCAACGTACCGGTTCCACGGAAGCGTCTGGATGAAGAGCTGTCGGCTGTTGAACGCTGTTCTCCGAAAACAACGTGCAAACGCCAATCGACTGAAATGATGTTTCATTGGTGAATTTAAAGAAATTGAAACGGTTTGAGGAAAGATTTTATGGAATTGAGGAGGCGGTCATGCTCGATGAGCGCCCCCATTTCTGAAGTAGTCTTTCAAAGGCAGTTGGCACGATAAGTCTCTGAAACGAGTAGGATTAATACGCATGGCAGGACCCCGTGACCCTGAACAGGCGCTGCGTAGCGCCTTTTCCAAGGAAGGTACCCTTATAAGGCCCTATCAAGCTACAACATACCGACCCGCCCGCCCACAAATGGACGACCGTTCCTGACGCTCGTATTGATTCATTTGCTAAGCAAATTATGAAGCGAAGGGATTGGTATGAAGCGGGTGCATAGGCATATGAGTACATACATGCAGCCGTGCCTACCGCAGCGGTTACTGACGAGATGCCTACGGAAAACCGAAATTGCTTCTCGAATTATTGAGAAAAGGCTTCTCCTTTCTGACCGTTTCACTTCGTTTTTCTCGCCATTTTCCCCACTATATAGCGCCCTGCTAGCATTTTAGGCTGAGAAATAAATTATCGTACCACCTGCCTTTAAGGCCTCCATTACTTCTACATAAGGACCTCGGTATGGCCACCGCCTTCTATCCATAAGACTGCACCTTTGAAAGCATTTGTGTCTCGCACACATATCACATACCGTATCTTTATAAGGCGTATAAACGGCAGCTTTACAAAATGACATATTCTCAACGCATCTTTCCACACAACGCTCTGGCGTCGGCAAGTGTACACGTTGAAGTACGGCTGTTGAGGTGAAGACGTATCGCTTCCGGGAGCACACGCGCATTCCATGTGCTGAAAAAAGTCATTTACTGAAATCCTTTCAGCAGCCGTTCCAAGATGGTCTCACAAACACGACGACACTCAGCCATCGTGATAGTTTCTATCTCGGATCTCACCAACGCTTCGACCGCAGTGCACAAGCCGTTGCGCACATTTACGTGTGACGCTCCCCGTCATGACACGTCATGCGATGTGTCTTTGAGGTCGGACACATTGTTCGAATCTTTGAACTACCGGATGTTCTTAACAGGGAACGACCTGTTTGAGAAGTGGGAGAACCAAAGAGAAGTTAAGCTCTAAGGGTTGCTGGAATGTTCCTGACAGGGGCCTATAATACAGCATACAGGAACACTAATCGAGATTTCCTGATGGAAATTGGTTGAAATCATGATAATGCTGCGTTCTATAGCCATCCTCAATTGCGAAAATCAGTTAACTTGATAATCCGGACGAGTTGTTCGACATTGGAAACGCGCCGCACAATCTGCGATAACTTATTGGTGGCAATGTGACATTATGGCTGTGTCGTTAGAAGGCCTTCTCGAGGTCGCTGCACCACCGCGTCGTGCCCGATGACCGAGTTTCGGTACACGAACCTCTAGAAAAATAAATGGTACTTTCTGCCATCTCATTGGGGCCATGTTGACACCCCAAAAAAAAGCCATGGGCCTCTTCTTGAGTGATGGTCAATGGCGAGAACTCTGCAGTGCCCTAATTTCTCTTTTCATCCCTCAACTAGCAACCATAGGATCCCTTCTCTCACATATTTGGTGAATAATGATTGCAGTCCTCTACAGCCAATTCAATTTCTTCTCATCAGGGACCGCGTGCTATAACTATCTCTCACTTTCAATCCCCGCGGATCTCTGACCTTCTACAGTTCCTGCTCCTCCATTTGTTCTCTATATTGGTCTGTATTGGGCGGAAGAGCACAAAACTTTTTCATTCACGCTGTGGCTGGATGCACCTTCTATAGGACTTCAATGGTGTCATATCGCCGGTAATATCTTTATGGGGCCGAATGATGTCAGCTAACAGAAGGAACAGCTCTTATGACATCTCTGGCTGTAAAACCAACCTGCTGAATGTCTTCAAAGACCATCCCCAAAGCCCATGCACTTTCTAATCCACACGTCTCCTTGTAATTACCATCTAAGGGGGAGTAATTAACCGTTCTTCCCACATCTGCTCGAAGGCCGGTTTTGATGACGGGCGCATCTGCATTGTGAAGTGTTGCTTTCAGGTTGCTGTTAGTCAACTGGAACACGTCTTAATGCCTCGACAACTCTGCTGATCTGCTCCCCAGGCACATATGAAAAATAAAAATTTGCGAAAAAAAATTCAACTGTGAATGACGCTTTATTGCGCGAAATTAAGTGATATTGAACGGTTTTGACTGCCTGTTAGATGAACTGTGCGGGGCATTGCTGAGGCAGAGGAGGTGTGCGCTACTATTGCTAGGAATAGCAAAGTACTTAAGAGTGCAGGTTCATTTTTAAGCTCTAGAGGGACTCTAGTTTTACGTTCAACTCAAAAAACTGTCCCTTGATAGAAATGTAACCGTGGCCATCAGACCCAGTTCGGGAGACCGGCTGGTGAAGAATTCACCAAGAAATGGCTAGAAGTGACAAAATTACCAGCAATACTGCTGAAGTGCCACTGAGGAGTAGCATGCAGAACTACCGCCCACGCCAAAAGTAAGTTGAGGATAAGACGCTACCAAATATTTAGCCAACGCATCTACCCTTTCTAAAGGGATGCTGCCCTGGGATTACACAATGCTTCATTGCTCAGAGCTAAAGACGCCACACACCCCTTCGTATGGAAACCTGTCTACGCTAGGTCTTCCCAGCTGCTAAATTGGTACTAGATAGACTCGTCAGAGAAGACAAAAGCACTGACTCGAACAACAACTCGTACCGTATGTTTTGTAGGTAATACACACATACATACACTTCTACGGTTTCAAATTATCCTTGAATGTCAGGCCTACGCTAAAAGGACTATTTAGTGCTAACTACACTGGTTCCACTTCGGAATATGTCACACATACACAGACACTGAGCACCTAGAGAGTTTCCTGGAACTAGTTGTAACTAACAATAAACCTAAAAGGTAAATCTAGAAGTATAGGAATTAGGAACAATTCTGTGACAACAAGAAAGGTTCCCTCTCATAGATACATCACCACAAAGGGCTGCTTTTCCTTGCTGGGCAAACGCACAGGCAAAAGGAGCGTGAATGGACGGTTTCGCTCGCTTTCTCTTCCCTCTTACTGTACTACTATTCAACGCTTTTTCCTTGAGAAATGACTTTCAACCATCTCTTTCTCCCGAATATCGTCTAGCTATTACGAAAATTGTGATCGAATGCAGGCGTCGAATGATGACAGGCGAAGTGAGGAGTGCTTAAACCTGGACTGGTTTTCGCCTCGAGAAATGGCTAAGAAAACGTCTTGACAATAGGGCACCTCCAAAGCATGAAAGTATTGTAACCATGCCCTATATAAAAATCATGCGTTGCCAAGTTTGGCGATAAAAATGTGGGCCGCCTACATTTCTTCGAAGTCAAATAAGTGGTACCGATTAACGTGGGCTTGATCCCGCAAAAGGTAAAGCTGAAAGTAGACGTGGAGCCCCCCACGCATCTCAAAGCAAGACCAGTCAACTTAAACCATTCGACACTTTCCCCTTAAATTTCAAATTTTCCGATTAAAGCATCTAACCTACATGACAGCTTACACCCAGACACCTTATTCGTCGCCTTTAGAAGCCTGAGCATGACAAACCTTTCTAAGAGCACAATTGGTGAGAAAGTTAGGCCTTTTCGACAGATGGGCCAGAAAAGAGTACACCACATGTATTTCGAGGTTGAGGAGCTGTAGACTTTCAGATTCACATTATCATCACTCGTCCATTGGTTTCAAAGGTTTCAAACTAAGGGGAAGACTATCTTATGCTACTCTGTTTTTTATCACGTAGTTGGGCTCTCTCCCAGTCTCATTAAAAATTAATTACGTACAACGGAAAGAAGTAACAAGTATACAAAAAACGCCCAAAAATACTCAAAAAAAGCCTCGAAGTTATTGATAAACTCGTGCAAAGTTTGGTGTGCAGCACCCTACAGCCCTGGCTTAGGGGTATGGGCACCCTCGCGGGACTTCATCCAACGAGCGGAGAAGCGTTCTTGCAACGGCGATTTTCATTCACTGTGCGAGCCTTTGACGGCTGAGGGATAGGATGGAAGGGAAGTTATCCCATGTTGAACCTGAATGAATGATCAGCCACCAATGGGAAAATAGCTTTGAAGGTCAGACCAAATAAATTTGGTCTGACCTTCAAAGCTATTTTTCGGGGGACTCAGTAGATCCAAAACTCTCCAGTCACAGGTTACTCGACCTTATACCATGTTCCACTTTTTTGTGTGTCTTAAAGTCTTGACAATATTGAGATACTTCATTATTATTCGTCATCTGTTCAACTCAAGATGAAATAGATGTCTGTTCCACTTTAATGGGAATCAAACATCAAACTCACGTCGGAAAAGCCCGTGGAAAAGTCGTTACAGTTCCTCGCTGTTCAAGTCCCGTTGCTATGAGAGACCGTCAGGACTAAGTGGTACCGGACGAGCAACAAAAACATTCCGAACGTTCATCGTATCTCGGCTCATCTGATAAAAACCAAGAAAGCTGTTATGAAAAACATGACTACGGCTCATAAGGTCTCATCGGACTGCGAGTTAAGAAAAGAATCCTTGAAATCATTGTCAGCCCAGTCCATCGCGTTATCCAATGGGTATCCTTGCTCTGAAACGACGCGACGGGGTTATTCAACCACGTGTCGAGAACACCTTCTACTAAAGTCCTTTTTGCCTGCCCTACGAGCAGGGCGAGCGATCATTACTGCATCGATGTGACCTGCAGGACGGTATTAGGTTTGTGGAAATACCCCGTGTAACTTAAAACGTCACCTTGTTCCTAGTTCGTAATCGGCTTTATGACACCATATGTGACTCCCCCAACTGCGTTGTTTGTCCCTTCGGCAGACAGGGCGCTGCATGAAGTCGGCAGTTATTCACTCAATACACTCAGAACTGTAACAGTGACTATATATGTGAAACAGGGCGTCCCTTCCTGTGCGGCTTAAGGAATATCTGGAGGGGCTCAGTAGATCTAGAGTCCAGAACCCGCTAGGAGCTTATCGAGTTGAACATCATGGAGGCACGTCGTTTGACGTTTCGGTGGACATCTTAGTGAGGTGCGCAAGAAATTGGAGGCATTTTGGATCACTGCCAAGGACCTCAAATGAATAGAAAGGAGGAGTGTGTGGCTGTGACCCGCGAACTCGCGCCTTTCCTCGACCTCTGTAAGTTTTGATCTTGCGAGGTCGGAGGGGGTAACTGGTAATGCTCACTCAACATTCAAATCAACCTCATGGTGGTCGAGCGCGCATTGCGGCATCCGAGATCAAGGTGAGCCACGTCTATCGATCGATACCGTTGGGTTGTTTTACTGGTTTAGTGAAATTGTCTTGGGAATTGTTGAGGCGTTTGAGCGGGCAGGTCTCATATGTTTTTTGTCCATTTCAGGCTCTGACGAAGGCGAAGACGCCGAAACGTTGGCTTAATAAAGTATTTCAATCTTGTCAAGGCCTGAAGACACATTATGTCCCCTTACTCTTCCGTTGTTGCTTGAACCGCATGAAATTTGTCGCCTTACCTAAAACGACTACCTTAAGGCATGTCAGTAAGAGAGAAAGAACCTCGCTCGAATCACATCGTGTTGGCAAAATCAAAATTATTTGATTACTCCAAATTCATTGAAAAGATGGAACTTCATACAAGCTCCGCTCTCACTAACAAGAACTCATACAGGGAGTAAGTAAATCAACGATGAGATTCTAGCAAGCTGAACCTCACACGAGATCGGAAAGGTCTGAGGGCGTGCGGTCCGGTCGCTGACAAAGTGAGAGCTTCGGGTAATATCCGAAAGTTCCAAAGAAGATGAAATGGTTGAGACGACAGGACAAATAAAGATTTCATTCGGCAATATTGTTTGGCAGAAGTAAGGATGACACAATTTGACCATGCT